TTCAATGGTTTCAAAAGAATTGAAGATACTACATCATTCTTAACCAATTTTAGGAATAGCTCAGTATATGTTATGAGGATAAGATCAATATGAACTCTCTCTTAATTACCTTTGGATCTTCTCAAACTAACTGTTTGCTTGTTAGGCCTTAAAACTGGTGTAATGACAAGATTAGGCCTATATGCAGGTGCTTGATAGACTAGTTGATAAGTGTTTAGGTAGATGTTATTTATAGTTGGAAAATAAGGCTAGTAAGGAACTTGGGTAATATTATTGATTGCAAGGTAGTAAACATGATGAACAGGTAGCGGATATGAAGCATAACTTCTAAATTGTTACCCTTTAAAACTTTTGGCTTGAGTTTCAATTTCATTCTTTTTGGGCATCCCACTTTTTTTTATACCGCTGGCTTTTTTTTCATCAAATTTACCACTCTTAATGGTATTTTTTATAATCTCCTCTAAGATCACCATGTCAACAAAGTTTTTTATTACGTTCCCTATCATCTTTTCATAATAGTATACCTTCAGGGTGCTTACGAACAAGCTAATTATTTTTTTCTCAATTAGATAAAGTTGAACTTAAGCAGTCATATCTCTCCATCGTTAGGCATATTCTTTAAAGGACTTCATTGTCTTATTTTTCATACTTTGTAAAGAAATACGATCAAGAGCCATGTCAATGATGTGGCGATATTGTTAATAAATCCCCAAGCAAGCTCATTTCAAGAGTAAATACAAGTTAGATCTAGCTAAACATACCATCTTACAGCTGAGCCAATAAGGCTGTCTAGGAATACACATTAATAACTTTTCATCACTAGTGTAGACAACCTTTTTTTGATAATATATATTGACATGTGTGATCGAACACTTAGTACCATTGTACTTCTCAAACTCAAGGACCTTAAACTTTGACAAGATCATAACATCTTGTACTAAGCAGAGGCTAGTTGCATCTATAGAGTCATAAAAGTCTATACCCTCAACGGCTCATAATCTTTCTTTCAACATGTTTATTTTATAATTAGCTTTAGAGTATTCCACAAACTTAGCCACTTTCAATTTTAGTTTTTCTTTTAGGTTGTCATAATTGAGAACTTGGACCAATTCAACTACTTTTTCAATGAAAACAAGGTTGATGTAACTTTGACATTCCCTTTGCTAGTGCATGTGGCATTCCTGAGTAAATATAGCTTGTAAGAAATGAAAACTGTTATGTTTGGTAGCTTTAAGTAGATTGGGCCTGATATGGATGATAACCTGAAGGATATAGAGGATCAGTAACGTAATGTGAAACATCTTTTTCTACCACTTTTTTTATTTAGCTGTCTAATGCTTTAAAGATTTTACTTAATTCTCTTTTGAGTTTTTCTTTAGCCATCTCTAATTTTTCAATGTGGCTCGCATTGTCTTACTCCATTCTTTTGGCTTAGGCTCGAGTGTTGTACTCGTAGTGAGTTAGTCGAGCTATCCTTGAACCTTAATTTACCACAATTAAGGTGCATGTTTAGAATGATGTTCATGAAAGCATCCAATTATGCATGAAAATAAATGCAGGGATACATGGATGTAATAAAAAGGATTTATCATATAACAATTGTTAACAAAGAAAATATTTATTGAACTAAAAGTTATTTCTAACCAAATCTAATATTACATCCATGAAAAGTCTAAAAGTTATTGAGGAAAGAAATTCCTAATTTGTCGATACTAGTTTTGCACTTTATTAAGGAAATCTAGCAGTTCTTGGTCATATACTTCCACTAGTGGTACCTTTATCTTTCATTTTTTAACCTTTTCCACTATGTCATTGGCTTTGTAAGCAGCCACGATGATTTGGTAGAGCAAGGACTCCAGCTGGTGATTTCTTACATATACCTCTTTTACTTGCTTACATTCTTTATTCACAGCTCCCATTTGTGTTCCAATTTTAACCATAACTCCATTCAGTATTAAGATGTGCCTTTATGCATCAGAAAATGTCTTTTCCCTTTTTTGTAGCCTTGCTTACAATTGTTTATTTTTTTATCAAAAGTTGAGCCAGTTCTCGATTAGTGGATAATTGTGTTATATTAAGGTTAGCAAACAAACTCTTCCATTCATCCTTTTCTTGTTCAAGTGCTTGAACTTCTCTTTTTAGCTTTTTGTTTGCAAGCTTTAACTCTTCAGACTCTATTTTCAGGCCAGTAAAAGACTTTGCTAGGCTTTTCATAGATGTAACTAAGATTTTTTTTTATTAAAATTATTTTCTAGCAGTTACTCCTTATGATAAACCTAATGATGTGAATGCATGCATAGCAAAAGAAAAAAATATTAGTATGCACATAATATATATATATAAGGAATAATATATAAATACAAAAAACAATATGTAGAGTTAGTATGCATATAGTATATTCCAAAAAAAATTTACAAGCAAAATAAGCATCCCACCATATGTCCTATTTAGGATTTTTTAACACAAGAAAAAGCATAGCTTTAACCTTAGTTCGGACCTTTAGGGTTTATTTAGATGCTTGGTTTAAAGATTTGACAATCTAAGGGTTTCCAAATTGTTCTTTACATCATTGTCCATTATAGACATGTAAGGCAACCCAACCCTTACCCATTATAGGTTACAAGTGAAAAATGACTCAATTTGAGTGAAAATTTTTTACTAGCCCATATGGAGACATGAAATCTCACAAAAGTGTAGGTACCTTACTCTATCTTAAGGGATAAAACTCGAGTATAGAGCTCATGTTATACATGAGAAAATGAATTACAAATATAAATAATAAATAAATAAATAAATAAAAACATGAAGAAAAATTCTTAAATTTATTAAGTTAGCATTGGATAACAAAAAATCAATTATTGGCCTGACTCTCGATGTTCCCAATAAAGTCATCAAACTGTTATAACGTATATATCCATGGACTTACCGTTGGACATAGACTTGAGAAGTCACCACCAATCTTTTTGTGTAGGTGTGATTGACCAACTAACTGAATCTGTCCTATTTTAAAGTGAAATCCCAAGCTTGATTCGAATATCTTTAAAAAGTAGATTTTAGTCTATGAAACCAGATTTTAAGTTTAAAAGTGTGATAACACGTGAAAAATATTATAACACCTTCACAGAGTCCAGCCGAAAGATAATATCAGTTTGATTTCAAATTATCCAAGCCATAAAGTCTTTTTGTAATTTTACCAAATAATTTAATTGTTGAAAAATGATATTAAAATTACTTCAATTGTTTGGTAGTACTTAAGGATAATTTTTTCACCTCAAAAGTATTCATGGAGACTAGTGTCCCACTCTGAAGAGGTTTCATTGTCGGATTCACTTAAAAAACTTTTACTTGTGAAATCAATTTATTTTTAAAAATATCTTCTAATATATTGGTAAGATTTTTTGTCAAAGATTGTTGTCCAATATGTTGATAGATTGAAATTTTATTTGTTTGTGAAAATAATTTATTTTCATAATATCTTTTAATATGTTGATAAGATTTGCAGTCAAGAATTATCTTTCAATATGTTGGTAGGATTTAAAAAATATATTTTTTCAAGAAAATTCATTAAGTTCTTCAATAGTTTGGTAATACCTAATTCAAGATTTAAATCATTCAATAATTTGATAAGATTGAAAATTGTTTTTGAAAACTCTTTTTTTTAATTTGAAAAAAAATCAAATAAACGAAAATTATCATGCAAATAATACCATAAAATAATAATAAAAAATATCATGCAATAATAATAAAATAATAATGCAATTAATTATCATGCAATTAAATATAATCATGCAATTATGCAAAATATATCTAATACGTCATATAAAATAGATATATAAAATAATCATGCAATTAAATATGTATTAAAATATAAATATTATAATAATATATAAAAAGCAAAACATAAAAATAAAACAAGAAAATAAAATTGAAAAAATCAAAGCAAAAAATAATTAAAAAAAGAAAAACTTGTGCCATAGGTCGGGTCGGAGCGCGAATCAACGGGTCACACAGGGGAAAGACCCTTCCAAAACGACATCATTTGCCTTGCTATAAAAGGTACTTTTCAACCTTTTTTCTGTAGACTTCAAATTTCTTCTCTCTCTCACTCTAAATCTGTTTTCTCTCTTTTCTCTTTAAAATTCAACTGAAAAACTCGATCTTTTTTAGAAACCAACCACCAAATCTAGATTTGGCGTCAAAAATTCAACCAATCGCTAAAAAGTTTAAACAAAACACAGAACAACATATAAACCTAGATTCCGGTCACCATGTACTTTACCAAAAATTTCAAATTTTTGCCAAATAATTCATAAAATAACTCAGAAAACCTAGATAAAAAATTCAAAAATCCAAAACTTCCCTCTAAACCTAAAATCCTATAATCAAATCTAAAAACCCAAAATCAAACTAAATATCTCGAAACTTTCCACGTCCAAAAATTTGAACTCCTAAAAATTTAAATGAAATCCACAAACTCCATTAAAAAAACCTAAACTATTTTTTAAATAACCTAATGAACCTCTCTCAACCCAAAAAATTTTCACCTTCAATCTAGAAATTTAAAATTTTACAAAATTCACAAACAATTTTAACAAACCCAAACTAAAAACCCAAGAGAAAATCAAAATCCACAAAAGCCCAGTCTATTCCTTCTTTTATTTATGTTTGTGTCTAGTTTTTTATAAGGATTCAATCCCTTTTAATTTGAAAATTTTCAACTGATTAATGATTTGATTTTTTGTAATTCTTGTAATATGTGATTTGATTATTTTGATGAATTAGGTTTGATTTGATTTTTTAAGTTTTCCCTCTTACAAGATTTGATCTTGCACGAATCAAACCATTCATTTTAGAATCGAATATGAGTTGAAACAAAAATTCTCATATTTTTATTTTTCTGAAATTTTTTTATTTTTAAACTTTTTTTTTTTACTTTTTTTGAAAAATAAAATTAAATTAAATAAAAAAATTAAATCAAATTAAAATTAAAATTTTTCTAAATGCTAAAGTTTCGCAAATCGAACTCAATTTACATACGCCCATTTCAATTTCAAAGAAATTCTCAAACAAAACGGAATATCTACAAAAGGAAATCTCTTTTTGGACCGTGCTGGGACCATGTTATAGGACACTGTAAGGCAAGTTTGGAACGGCCAGAGAAGGTAATGTTCCTGAAATATGAAGACCTGTTAAAAGATTCTGTGGTTTATGTGAAGAAATTGGCAGGGTTTATGGGATACCCATTTTCCTTGGAGGAAGAAGAAACTGGGGCAATGGAGAGAATAGTAAATTTGTGTAGGTTTGAAAATCTTACCAATTTGGAGGTGAATAACACTGGGGTACAGCATCTGGGTCAGGTAATTAATAACAAAGATTTCTTTAGGAAAGGCAAAGTTGTAGACTGGAGCAACTATCTGAATCCCATATGGCAAATCGCCTCAAAGGGATAATGGAACAGAAGCTGAAAGGATCTGGCTTGACATTCAATTGCTCATAAATTAGTGTTTGGCAATCAAGAAGACATGCCAAAAGTGAACTAGGCATTTACCTTATTAAGTACCATAAGCAGTGAAGTTAGCTTGAATACTACGTGAAAGCTTTTGCTAGATTTGGATTGGGCTAATTGCATTTTCAACATAATGTGGTTTGCAGTAGTTGGTTTTTGTTTCTTAACAATATTTACTAATTTTTTTTTATTTTACAAAATGGATGGATTAGAATTTGGGATTCTAATTTGAATGTGTCAATTTATAAGAGAATGCAAAGTTTCATTGGATTGAAAATAACACAGGGTCACTGCTCATAGCATCACTCTTCTGAGCTTTCCAGCTGGATGAACATTGTTCTAGAGTTACATGGGAATTGATCAAATTGCATAAGGAAAATCTCGGGTTACCATTTACCAATCAATTCACATCGAAATAGAATCAGGAATTTCCTCCATTTCTGTTTCGGATAGCAGCCTGCTTGACTAGTCTGTTACGGTAAAAGAGAACTAGATGCTACTAGATCTGAGTTCCTTCCAGATCTCCAAATGGTCATAGCCAACAACTCTATAATTGCCGATGGATTAATTATTCATGGAGGCAAGGGAGATGCATCTAGAGAGTCCTGAAGTCTTCCATATGGTGCATCAATTATGTAATCAATTGTGCATTCCAAAAAGGCAAGAACATGCAAATTTTAACTAATTTCTGGCCATCCAACAAACAACGACATCCAAAATTATCAAAATAAACATGTAATGTCCCATAAGGGCAACGCATCAAATCTTGGTTTCTGTCATATCTAGGTAATATTTACTTCTTAGTTCTTATCTTAACTAAAGTCTGGCCACGTACACACATATACCAGATAATAATCCACGCAGGGATTGGCATATAAAGAGAACTGAGAACAAATTGTTCAGAAACAATTTCCCTAATCTTCCTATGTATTATCTTACAGAATAAAAGAACAAAGTTGTACGCGTAGGTTTTTTTTTTATTCCACATAAAAGAGGGAACTATTTAAGATGACCGAGAAAAAGCCAAGCTGGGAAGTAAGCAGCAGCTTCAATTTGGCACCTCTAAAAGACTGAAAATTATGTACAGCAACCTCAAATGACCATTATTGCAAAATCTCATTTGCTTCACACAACCAGTCCAACCGGATGTATCTATGTCATATATATTGTCTTCACTCAATAGATAAGAGAGTACCCCTTGTCCTAGTTGGGCGAGCTGTTTAATGAACATGGAACGAGTCATCCGCTTCATCAGCATTGAGAGAAAAGATATCAACAGGGGTGCTAGTGCAGTCTGTAAAATTGTGATCCTTGAATCTACCATTAGAAAAACCCAATGGATGATCCAAGTATATCACTATAACAGTGATATCGTCATGGAAATGGCGTCTTACTCCTTTTTCAATTCTTTTAAGATCATCGTATCTCATTTCTCTTTTCTTTGCAGACTCCTGAAGTGCAGCTCTTACCAATCGCTTTGCTATTCCCTGTGAAAGAAGGATATATCATTATTGACACCATCACATTGTACAATACTTAATGATTTGAGCCCATATATATATATATATATATATATATATATTAAGAGTGAAAGTGACTAAGCATGTCAAGTTATAAACGAGGAGTGCATGAAACTATTTATTAGGATGGAGCCTTACAACTCTAGGACTTTTCAGAACAATCTCACAAGCTTCTTGATCACTTAATTGCTCCCAAAGGCCATCTGATGCAAAGATCAAGAACAAGTCCTGAGGCTTCAATTTCCGCATTAATATAGAGGGCACTGCTGTCATTACAGGCCTTTTCAAAGGAACTGGCAATCCAAACTGCTGAAATAGATAATCCCTGTTGAACTCAGGCTTCTTCAGATATATATCTCCAATCGATCTCGAGACCTAAAAGATGAAGTGTTTTAGATAAAGCCTCCAAAATCACACGGTGCAAATTCCAGTTATGATATCAGACAATCAACTTAAACCAAGGAAAGAAAAGCAGATTTACAGCCGTAAAGTTGTACTAAAGTAATGGATACCACGTGACTCCTTTGACTCTACAAGAATGGTTTCCAAGTAGGATTGGAGAAATAATTTTGTATTCACTTCTTGAGTGAAATTTATTTCTTACACATAGCATATAGGAAAATCTCCAAATTGTGTTAGCAAAGTTGAATCATTGAAGTCACAAGCACCACGTATACGATATAAATGTTCATCCACCAGTTATTAAAGCTATGTACCATCACCAGACAATGACTTCCAGGTTATGATTCATATACCTCACTATTCACTCTTTGAATCTAATATATTCGGATGAGAGATGTGACTGCCCAAAGAGGTGGAAATGTGATTTGCGGAGGCATATTAACACAGAGAAATAATAAACACAGATGTGACTCAAAGAAATTGCCTGTGAAGATTTCCTAATGCACTTTTATAGGATAAGAATATAATGATTTGGACGATAAACTTCCAAATGGCACATATAACTGATCCAAGAACTACAACAGAATAAAGAATAGAATATCATGCTTTCTATTCTAAGCAAAAGGTATATTTTCCTCCTTTTTAGTTCCGATGAAATGATCGTTTGCTTTCCAGGAATAACCATAACTTAAAATACTCAAACATTGATATGTAATATGAAAAGAAAATTTCTGTGGGATATTCATAAGTTACTGCAAAGTAAACAAGGATGCAAGCAGTGGAAGACAAGGGGAATATTGAAATTTGGGTGATATGGCACTATATCTATGAGTTTTAGCATAAAGCTGAATTCTCAAAAATCTGATCATCTCCAATAATTTTCATATTTCTAAAATGGCATAAAATCTAAACCTTTATGGCCATTTTAATGCTCATGAGAGTGAAGAAAGTGTGCATCCATCAAAAACCAAAAGAAGATAAGATGCCTGATTGATCTATTGGCATATCTAATATTCAAAGAAACAATTAGAAACCACATGATGTATCTAGAGTAGAGGCTAAACATTCGGCTAAGAAAATGTAGTCAATTAGTAATATTAAAGAGACTATGGGAACCACACAAAGATCTTCATATCTGCAAAAATGCCTAGTAATGCTATCACAGAAAGGTTCATGTCTTCGATTTAGAAAGGGTGATAACCCCAAATCTTAATTGGTGACTTAAGCATAACCTAAGGAATTAAAAGCAAAGGAACTTGCCATCTGAATTGCGAATTCCTGACGAAGCAAAGTAAACAGGATCATAAAATTTCACCAGTATAACATATAGCAGATCAAATGCACACAAAGTTGCAGTGTCAAATACTAATCAATAGTCCAATATTAACCAGAAATCCAGAGTTGTAATTGCTATTGGCGACTTGTTAAAACTAACATCTATCTACAACCACAGAAACTTACAGTATTAGACCAACAGAAGTTTGAAAATGATCAAACACTAAGGCAGTTAACTAAAGAAACCAAGAGAAATGCCAAAATTGGTACCTGAATTATGCCCTTTATCCGCCAAACTCCATGGTTGTACACCACAACGTGAGAATCATCAGGGTGAAGTGCTACTACCTCCTTCCTCACCTCTTCAACACCAACATTATGATCAGTTGATAACCGTTCTGCCACCACCCGATTATTAGTCCCATTTGGGGACACTCTCCGCCCAAGCACTGCCCTCGAGTCTCCAAGATTAGCCACGTATAAAACATCATTAGCAATGGCCCCAACAAGACAGCAGGAACCAACTGAAGCAATCTGTGGCCTAGCCGCCCATGTTCGCTTCACTAACTGCAAAAATTCCTCCTCAGTAGCAGCAAACGCCTTCTTTATTACTTCTGCTGACAACCCTCCATGCTCTGATGCAAACTCTATCACAATTGAACCAGTAAAAAACATGAACTTTTGTTTCGCTAAATAATTGACCAGAACACTGAATTAACCAAAATTTGAATTTGATTTATATGAAATATTATTCTGATTTCAATTATATTTTGATTATTAGTCTCTTTTTCTTTATAGTTCACCTTAAACATTTTAAGCAATCCAAAGCCTTAAAGAGAAACCCCCAACGAACATGCACTTACTATGAAGAAAAGGCAACAAACGGTGAGTGATGAAACGGGAAGCCTCAGGTCCGCCATGACCATCGTAGACGCCGACATACGTCGCAGAAGGGGAAGTAAACACCTGTCCTTGATCTTCCAAAGAAGAATTCGCTTGCACAACTGCTATGGAGTAGTCCCCTGAAGCGTATGGCTTCAAGTCCATATGCCACAACAGCCCATCTCCTCCACCTCCTCCTCTAAAGCACTTCTCCAATGGCCTTGTGCACATCTCCAACATCCTTTTTGACTGTAAGAAAACTAGTTGAACTTGGACGTGTTTGACAATAACAGACAAGTTGAGCCACAATAAATAAATAATGGGATTTCTTTTCCAAGCAGGGTTAGCAGGGGATTTTCCAGGAAATTGAAGAGGGGTTGGAGTTGTGAAATGTGTGATAATTGAATATACCTTCTTTGTGTTCTCGTTTTTATTGATGCTGGAATGTCTTGGGAGTTTGAAACCGGACAGAAGGACGGTTGAAGACAGGAATGATTCAAAGTAAACGGTTAAGCCAAATAAGAAAAGGAAAAAAAAAAAAAGAAGGAAAAGAAGAGTAGAGTTGACGTAGACGTAGACGTAGACGTGGGAAAACTTATCCAGTACTATCGTCTAGGTAGAATCCTGTTCCTTAACAACAAACGCGTAGTATCCAAATCAGCTCTCAATCTGCTTAAGTTTTCACACAACCGTGAATCTCACGTTTATGCTTTGCCATCGAGTTCCACTGATGCAAAATTCAAGCTCTCTCAAGAATTTTAGTATGAATCCAATTTTTGTTCAGTGCGGTTTGTACCATCCTCTATCTTTTAGCTTTAATTGTTGTTGCTATTGGTGAAAATAAAAATAGATAATACTAACAGAATATGCCTTGAATGATTACAAGAAAGAATAAGCAAACCTAAGCAATTTTGTAAGGTTTTTAAACACCTGGCGGTTGTTGAAAACCTCAGATTCAGGTGTTTTTATTCTTTTTTTTGGGGGGTTCTGTTTCTATCTTCAATCTTTTTCCAGACAAGAGTTAGTGAACTGAACATACAAATGATAAAATCAATAACTAATTTTTCTAACGTTGCATCATGTAATCACATTAAAAAAGTTTCATGGATTTTTTCGTTCCCACTAGAACACGCTGTTTCTAATCACCAATTGATTGATTTGAAAGTTGATTTCCTTTAATTTCCACTGAGAATGGAGATATTTGGTGTTGTTGGCGTTGGCGTTGGAGAGAAAAAATAGGCATCGCCACTCACCCGTATGGTAAAATCAATGGAAATCGAGCACAGAATGAGAAAAGAAAGAAAGATTTCACCCACTTTTTTTTTCCCTAGCAAGTGAACGCTTGCTTGACTTTCAAGGTCTCAATTTTTGACTTATTCTGTGAATTGTAATCAGAACAAGAACTTCATCGCCGTATCTAACATTCAGATGCTTATGCCTATGTCTGAAAAATATCACTAGCTCCTAAACTTAAGTCAAACATCTGTAAGAAACACATGTAACATTTCCATGAAGGATGTTTTTTTTAAGAAACAATAAAGAAATCTGACTAGAAATGAAACGATAATTAGACACCAATTTGTTGAAAATTCTTGAAATTGATCGGAAGTGGAGAGTGACATATCACCTTACCTTGTATATTTTATTATTCTCATGATGATGCTTTTGGTGAATAATTAAGCAAATGTAGGAGACACATGAAGCTAAAAAAAAAAATCTGGGTCCAAATAAATTCTTCAAATGAATGTCATTAAAAATTCAAGACAAGGACATTTAGTTGAACAAGGTTGGTGACTTGTTGGAATCGTTTTGAAAATTATAAAGCTACTGTTTTTTAATGTTGATGAATACGTTTGGTTCGATGAATTATAATTCAAGTAATTCAATTAGACACTATTCTACCTTGGAAAGCAATATTTTGAAATTTGAACTCTTTGGGTATACATTTTCCAATTTAAATGAATATAAATACTTAAAATACAGCTCTCCAGTCACATCCTATTAGAAAGAGTGATGTTATTTGTATCCCAATTTTTTAAATATATCTTTAAATTTTAATATTTAATAAATTATTTAAATATTTATGAATTATTTATTTTTTGTATTTTACATTCTATTTCAAAAATGATTTTCGAACATTTATTTTGAGAAATCTTTAAAAAATTTTAAAAATTTTAGATCGTATTCAAATATTTTAATATAAAATATTATGAAACTAAACATAAAATCAAACGAAAAAAATTAAAAAATAAATTATTTACTTTTAATTTTATATTTTTTAATTTTAAATTAATAAAATTTTATTTGAATTTGATTTGATCAAGCTTAAAATCTTTTAAATTTTTAGTTGGAAAGAGGAAAGAGATGGAATGTAAAGAGATTGAATGTTTGAGTTTTTATTAAATTTGTATTTTAAATTAAGGGTGTTTTGAGTAAAAAATTAAATATTAATAGTAATAAATTGTGAAGAAAAAAAGTTACGGTGTAAATAGCACCGTCCTTGAGAAATTACAACACTAATTCCTACTTAAAATTTTCGGGGCCCTGTTAAATGTTTTGTTTGTTTCTCTTTGCTTTATAGTTTATAGTTTATACTTATCTTGTATTAGAGAAGAGATCTCCTTTATTGTTTCCTTTTGTCATTCAAGTCGCTGGCTGGCAAGATTGCTTGCCCTGCTTTATTCTTAAGTTTTGTTGACTTTTTTTGTTGACAAATTACATTATACAACTACAGTCAGTAATAGTTTGATTTGTCGGCAGAATGTTAGATTTATAATTTTAACGGTCATACTTTAATTTTCAGTAACCTTAAATATTAAAAAATAGCTTTATCAGCAATTGTATAATCTATTAATAAAATATTAAAATTAAAATTTTAATGATTAAGATTCAATTACTTACTTAAAAAAAAAGAAATGGGCTTTTTACAGATTAGGCCTTACTTTATAATTAATTTTGTAAGCTAGTTGGGCCAACTTGGCCTAATTCTTCAAAGTGGTAGAGTTGATGGGACACAAATTGGCTTGATTCTTTTATTTCAGTAGACAACAACTCAACATCAAAATATGCCCGCTTGAGCCAGGGTCCAAGGAGCCATTGTTGTCTTTCGTGCATAATGTTTGTAATGAATTGAAATCATCATAGATTCAATAAGTAAGAAACTCTCAACTTTTCCTGTTTTCCAAGAATCAGTTAGGTATATTTCTTTTGCCTGTAGGAGGGCCCAACATATATTGTTGTGGATAAGCATTCTTTGGTAGAGCAAGCAGCTTTCTTGCCTATCCGGAGCACTTATCCTCGAGATCTTGTCCAGTTCACTGGCAATGGAGTTACTGAAGCTCCAAAGCTCCCCACAGTTTCAGGCTTGAGGAAAAAGCAGCAATTTCTGTTTCTGGATTCTAAAAAGGCCGTGGTCTTAGGCTTCACTGAAAATTTGTTCTTATATTCATTGATTGAATCTATGAAACATACTGACATACGCAAAGATTATTATAAGATTTAAGATGAACACTCACATGCGTGGGGATATGCTGTCCAATAGAGGAGAAGCTTTTTCAAAAGCAAATACAGAAGATGTAACAACTCCAAACTTTTCAGCCATAATATAAGATTATGTTAATCTGAAAGGGGAAAAAAACATATGTACTACCAATCTCCAAACAAAATGGGGAAAGACACAGTACAAGGAAAGAATTATTGGATTCTCAAATAAACTTGATCAAACTTTCTTGTTGAGATCAGATTAACTAATGAAACAGTACAAGAGACAGACAAAAACCATTACTCCTGCCTTTGTAATCATGAAATCATCAAAAGAACAAATGGGATTGAAATTGAAAGAGTTAATCAGAATCCCTTCCTTCCATGTTTTACTTTAGCTTTTTTGGGGGCCAAATTGCATGTTTTTTCAACTTTTTTTTTTTTTTTGGCCTTTCTCTGTTTCATGGGTCGTTGGGCTCTTTAGTGACAGTCACGATTTGCCGTTTTCATGTCCTGTTAAAGTTAACACTTTAATCATGATAAGCACCTCCACCACCACTGTCACGTTTGTTCATGCTCATCATTTTCCACTCATCACGGCTGCTACTATTTTTCAATCATCAGAAACGCCAATTGAAAAATATAATAAATAGACAAAGAAAAATCAATAATTAAGAACTTGAAATCTCTCAACAGACAGTGAGAGAGATTTTATAGGTACAAGAGCTTGCACTTTGAAGTATTGCAATATATAATCTAAAAAATAAAGACAACTAAAACAAAAAAAAAAAAAAAAGTGATAATGATAAAAGAATAGAAAAAGGAAGCATGCGAGGGATTGTTCATGAGTCTTTCTTTAAGCCTCATCAACATAGCTTGCATGTGAAAGCTCCTTTAGCCATTCAAACGTTCGATGACGTGACAAAGCTTGTTTTCCTTCTTGCTTTTCTTTTTCCTTTTCTTTCATTTTCTTCTTCATCATCAATTCTTGCAGCAGCTTTTTTTTCTCTTCCAAGGCCGCATACGACTTTGCTTTCTCGTTCTCACTGTTCTTGTTACTTTTGATGATGACTATGTTGTTCAATGGAACTGTTTCAACTGCATTAACTGAACATTTACATCCACTAAACAACCCTATTCTCTTTTGTAAGAACCCTTTGTTCGAATCTTGCTGGTTCTTTGCAACTTGATCACCGCTGTTGTTAACAATCTTCTTGCTGCTGTTCTTGGTGGTGCTTGAACTGCTATTACTGCTATTACAACTACTGTTTCGGCTGACAGAATTTCTATTAGCATTATTGTTGTTGCTACGAACTTTCAAGTCATTTAATTCAAGTTCTGGTGCTCGAACCAAACCTAACCTGAAAAAATCCCACATTGATGATTTCTGGTTTCGGCTATTGAAATTTACTGGCCGAGTTTTGGACAATCTTATCTGGGGTTTTGGACTTGGATGTGTGTTGAAGTTGTTTCTGATTTTAATTGGCTTTGACTTGGAATTGGAACTGGAACTGGAACTGGAATTGGTAATTGAACTGAAATTTCTTGCTGTAACCGTGATGGAATTGCTGCTACTTATTGAGTAATGACTACTTCTAGTGCTGCTGCTACTAACACTTGTGAACCTACTTAACGAACCATGGTCCATGGACTCTGACCTTGACAAGCACCGACTAGTGTTCTGGCTGTCTTGGCGGCACCCTGTTAGGCCGCTGTCTGAACTAACTGAGAAACGAAGGGGTAGAATTTGGCCTTTAAAGAACACTTCATCAGCTGCACACATTTCTGGTTCTGTTGATAGAGAGCCACCCCATGAGCCAAAGTTGAAATCTTCTTCTGCTTTAATTGCTTGGGATTCACCATCTTCCTCATTCCTGGGTTGGACTTGGTTCTCTTCTTTAATCAAATTTACTGGCAGATCACACAATGACAATGCTTCTTCTTCCTCGGCTTCCCATTTTTCTTCATCATCACAGTTAATTGCAGTACTCTCCATGGCTTGAAAGATAATACAAAATGAAACTTTTCTAATTCAAACACCGTTTGGGTCCTCCTGAGAAGTAACAAAGGGTGCAGAAAGTGAGATTTATATAGCAAGAACACGGTTTAATTTTGAATTGCAGAGAGAGAAACAGGAGAGGGAAAGTTAAAGGGGGAGAAATAGGGAGACAAGTGGAATATAAAGAAGTAAAAGCCACTGCAAAAGGACCAATAAAGAAACAATGGAAAATGCAGAAGTCAGTGCAGGCGGAGAAGACAGGGTCTCTTTCTTGTTTGAGAGAGAAACAGGGGGGCTATCAGGCCGGCCATTATCCGAGCTAGTATTTATGCACTCTCACTTTCATCAATACAATTGTGGAGGACAAAAGGAGTTAGATTTTATGCTCTAGTGGGGCTAAAACCTAAAGGTTACAGCTGAAAAAAACAATCTTGGCATGCAAAATTTATATAATTTTATATAAACATCTACTTTGGAGCATGAAATTTGGAAGGAAAAGTTAAAAATGGAATGTTAAGATAATTCGCAGTGTCAAACAATGATAGACATCTGTTTTTGGCAGCGAAAACAAGCTCTAGGATTCCATCTAATGAATCGAATTCTTTTGGGTCTATTCAATAAAAGAAAATTTGAACTGTTGATAATGGAATGTATATTCCTGAGATGAGGACTAATCGAGACTAAAGACAGGAGGGTTGGTGTTGCTTTTATTATATAACAAAAATAACTCAAATTTTAATTTAATTCAATTATATGATTATTTTAAAAAAAAACATTTAGACCGGCCGAGTCTTAACCACTTGCAATCCATTTTTTTTACTCCTAAACTGCAATTTAAAAAAAAAAAAAATTGAGAATTTAAATTTTAGATTATGTGGTGCAAATTGGAGCTCTAAAGATCTTGGATGTTTCATGGCAATGGGATGAGTGACCTCTGATAGATAGAATGTGACTTATTGGGTTTTTTTTTTTTTTTTTAACTTTGTTCCAGAAAGGTGTTTTTGCCACTGCTGATCAAGCAGGAAAAGAATGACTTGTATTTCATTGTATATGATAAAAAATTTTTGTACCAGCTAAAAATGTATAACAAAAGAACATGATATTTTAAATCCAAGACCATGGACCACTTAAAATTTATTTTACTTTGTAAAATGAAAGGCCAAAGTTACATGATTGGCATTTACTGTAGCCAACATATCTGTTTTGTTTTGTGACAGAAACAGGTCCAGAAGGCAGAACCATCTTCTGTTTAAATTCCTTCGATGTTGCCATATCTTTACAGTGGAGTTTGAAAATTGAAATTGAAAAGATTCTGCATGATCCTGGAGTTTGATATGGTATTCAATTTTGTTTGCTCAATGCCATTAAGGAGTTTTTATGGAGGAGATTTGAGTATGTTATCCTCTCATTTATTGAGATGTAAATATTTATGGCAAAATGACTGATCAGGCATATGGATTCTTTGGAACTTTTATGTTTTTGATAAACCTTTTGCTTCAAAATTTATTAGGACTTTCTACACCAAGCTGCTTTTCTATGTGAATTCTTTTAAAAAATAAATAAACAAATAACATTAATTATTATTAATTAGTGCCATTATTTTTTTAAAATTACCTACCCAAAATTTGAATCTCAATTCTCCCTTCCCATTTGGCAGACAATTTACTAAAAATGAATTTAATCATTTGAATTTTAAGACGTTTAAGAAAATATTTTTTTAATAAAAAATATCATGATCTAAAAATAATTAAAAATTAAAAAGTTATTAACATTAAAATTTGAACACTAAAACTGCTGAATGTCACCTATTTAAAAGAATGAACTTAAAAAACATGATTAAATTAAATACTAATTTCTAAAACAACATGATTTTATTACCTAATATTATTTTAGTTGCCTTTAAAAAGAAAATAAACAGGCTTGTGATTTTTTTCCTTTCTTTTTAAAATTATGAAGTTCTAATCACTTTGAAAGTATGATTAGGAAAGAAAATCAGAAATATTATTCCATGCTTATCAGTCAGTCTTTTGCTTGTGCAGGAATTAGTCATGCAAATTGACTTCTTGTTAGTTAACTCCTCCCTTTCACACCCTTGAACAAGACGGAAGTAAATCAATAAAAGAATAAAGAATTGGACCAACAAAAATCATAAAATTCAATTTGGGCCTCTCAAAAATAAGAAAATGAAAACGCATTAATTGGGCCTTAGCCGTATATATTATAGGCCGAATTGAAGAAAATTGATTAATTTTGGGCCTTAATTAAAACTTTGTTGCTAAAATTATCATTGGTATTCACTAACAACGCTACCTGAGAATTGAATTTGTGTTATTTATTAAATTTTAAATCATTGTTTTATGGTGTTACTGTAAATATCATTTGATGAAAATTTTATTTATTTACAACCCCAAAGAAACAAAAACTAATTTATATAGCTTTCTTACTTGATTTCCAAATCTTCTTCTCAAGAACGTCGTAATTAACTAATTATTATAGCTATGCGATTCAGGGGACCCCTTGACGGTTAATGGTATCAGTGGCAGCGAAATCACGCTCAGAGGAGAGATTGGCACCGGAAAGAGTGGGGGCGTCGGTGGGGCTAGCAGCGCCACGGCCTGGCTTTGGTTGTTGATGGCCTTCGGTTCCATACCGTTGACGCTTGTAATCTTCCAAGTCCATGTACTTCAAGTAAGGACTGTCCTTTACTGGTAGCCCTTCCAAGCCTTCCTTCTTATCTTCCTTATTGTCTGCTTTCTTATCCACATGTTCTTGCTTCTTCTCCATTTTCACTTCCAAGCTTTAGATTATTGCAGGATTGGTTTTTGTTGGAATATGGTTTGCTTATGGTTTGCTTATATTCAAGATTTTCACCTTTGGTGCAATTTTGCCATATGTTGGCTACGTGTTTATTCGTCATGGACTGTGAGTTAGCACGTGGCAAATGCCTTGGAAAAAACCAACTGAATTAAGTCCTTTACCATATTATTTCATTAGCTTATCCAATTAGATTTTAATTGATATTCACTGATTTGTGTTAAATGTGTGTGAATGCAAATTATTGTTTTAACTAATGTTATTTGCCATTAAATTATATAGAATAGTGTAATTCGATCCCATCTTATAAACCTTGTTACAAGACAAGTGTGTCTATCTTGTTTGGTAATTGTTATTTAATTATTTTCAGCCATGCCAATGTTGGTTTTACTTCTATGAATTGCGGCTAATTTAAATTAACAACAATTCTCTGTTTTCATGGCTTGTATGCTATAGTTTCTCTTGTTGAATGAAATTTCCCACAAGTTTGTATCCTTCTTTTAGTTCAGCAGCAGGGGAAAGCAAGGGAAAATTTGGGAGCTTGTGTTCCTCCTCCTTATTGCTTAAAGTTCCCAGATGCTTGGTACTCGGATTGAAAAAGGGATGATGTTGGCTGCAGACTAGTAACTACACCACCTCAACCTGTCTTTGTTTATTTGCTCAACTTTTTAATTAGCAGCTTGTTTCACCTATCTCAATATCTCAATTTAAAGCAATTAATCCTAACAGAAAAAGTTTATACTGGAGTGGACGCAAAGTCTGAATGAGCCTTGGCAATACGATTGCCAGGATAGGAATTGAGTGTTTTTGATGACTTTCTGCAGTCCAGGATACAGAGAAAATCACATCCACTCGGTGAAAGCTTTATGACCACTGATACTTGCAGGATAGGGCACCACTACATAACCAAATTCATGAATGGACAGTCTATGATAAAGAAATTTTCTTGAAGGAGGAGTAACTGTCAGTAGCCAGAAATAAGCTCTCTTACAATAGAAGATCTTAACAGTATTCCATATATAGCTTAAAACATAAGAAAGGTTAGAACTAAAAACAGATAGAGCAGTTCTCTTTCCCTTCTTTAACAGAGACACTACGGATAGCAAATGCCTTAGATGTGGCTTTTCCGTATTGCAGTTGATGACTCTATTATTGTTGGCAAGTCTCCTACTTTATCTGATAATTGGGCTTTGAAAAGAAAGCAGCAGGATGAGCAAGTTGAGGTTGGGAAACCTATACCATTCACTCATTGTAGAATGGTATGAGGTTATCCCCTGCGTTCTTCAAGACAACATTATTACTCTACTGCTACCAATTTGCATCCTTACATCCATCCTTTCTGGGGCCCTGAGGTAAAGAAGTTCAACCCCTCAAAGATTGCATGTGAACTTTATTTAGTTTGGTAGAGAATCCTCTGGCAACTAACCATGTTCTTTTTATATCTTTTTGGTTTGGGAGAAATGTTTTAATTATATCTCATTATGGGATATTTCTGTTTCTACCCTCTCTTTAAAAGGACAAGCTATGTATTAAAGTGGCATCGGAACATTGGTACAACTTACAGCTGTTTACGCTGTCAAAAAGCATGGAAATCACATTAAAATTCGTGGCACCCATAATTGTGCTTTGCTTACCTGGTGACACTTCCAGTTCACTTTTGCAATAAAATCTCAATTGGCAACCGAAAAGTCACTTGAGTGATTGAGTCTGGTCTGGACCACGTATAAAGTGAAATGAAACCAAGAAGCCCATGATATTGTTGATTGCTTTAAACTTGAAACAATCCACTAGGCAAAGCATATCCATACACTGTACACTGAGGAAGTAAACAACCCAATTTTCCTGGTTTTTATGTCTTCTATCTCAGAGAACAACATCAAGCACTTAAACCCAGCTTTCATTATTAGCTGGATAGAAATTATAAGCGCATCAAGAATTAGTAAACTTAAAAAGTCTAATACATTAAACAATTGCACTCCCTTTCTTCTTTTTTCGAGAGAGTTTAAGAAGCAAATCAACCTTAAACTATTCTTTTTATTCTCCTATCAATTCCAGCTAATTGCAATAGGACTTTGCACGTTATACTTCTCACTAACCCATTCCAAACGAGAAAAGCTGAAGGTATTGGATGGCTGTGAGCTTGCGGTGAATGTGACTGTATATGATTTCTTCTCATTTGCTTGGCTGAAACTCAACGTCTCTGGCTCAACTGATATCTTAACTCCTCGAGCCTCTGGTGATATAGACACCTTGTAAGTTCCTGGTGAGCCTACATTTGTAAGAGTTCGAGTGTACTTTACCACATTTGAGCCACCCATTGTAGTATCAAAATTGACAGCAAACGATGGGTAGTTGAGATCGGTAACTCTATATTTCTTGCGAGCATCACATGAAAAGTTTCTTCTTGCGAGGGCGTTAATTTGAAATTCACTGTAGTTTAAGGCACAAAGGAAGCCAAGATAATCTTCAACTGTTAAATCATAGACAAGTCCTGGATTAAGCGCTGATACAGGATCAACATGTCCAGCTCCATGATCAAACGGGGTGGATGGTTTCCCTGTAGCAATATCTTGCATTTTCTGCTTGTTTTTGTACTCTGTATAAGCTGTGGTCATGAGAGCTGATCTGATAGCTGCAGGACTCCAATCTGGGTGAGCAGCCTTGAGCAATCCAGCAAGGCCACTAACATGCGGGCAAGACATTGAAGTTCCTGAAATAATGTTGAACTCCACCCTTCTGGTATCAATTGCCAACCCTGTTGGACCTACATCCCCGGACCATCCTGCTAAAATGTTGACGCCAGGAGCAATCATGTCTGGCTTCAATATCTCCGGGGTTATCGAATTAGGCCCTCTTGAGCTAAAAGCAGCCACCACAGGTGATGGTTCAATGCCAACTTTGGTTCCTTCAAAGAGAATTGTCACAGTTGGGTTAGGATTTGAAAACAAGTAACTCTTTAGAGCATCACCAGATTTTTGGCCCACACCAGTTGCTGGAAGCAAATGGGCATCGGCTACAAGCTCTTCGCCGTTTGCAGCAGTGTTAGCCAAAACCATTCCTACACCACCAGCTGCTTTAACAACAGCTCCTTTTTGAACCCTGGCGTTCATTCCACGATCACAAAGAACTATTTTGCCTGCAACTTTTTCTGGTATCAAAGTTCCCATCATACACAAATTCCCACTCGTGGCATTGCTAGCATTACCGGCATAAACAAATGGTAACAACTTTCCCGGCAAGGGAGTGCCTTTGTAAAGTGACACACCAGAGTAATTTCTTCCGTTTCCAAGGCTAACATAAGCAGGGAAATCACGATCCAATGTGCCTGCACCAACGGTAGTGATCCAAGGAGCCACGTTTGATAAACTGTAAGAACCTGGACCAGCATTTCCAGCTGAACAAGAAACTAAAATTCCCTTTTCCATAGCAGCAAAAGATCCAATTGCAACACTATCCCTGTAATAATCCGACATGCCACCACCGAGTGACATTGAAAGTACATTAACGTTGTCGTCAATAGCCTTTTCCATCGCAGCCAGGATGTCTGAACTGAAACACCCACCAATCCAACAAACCTTGTAAACAGCAACTCTAGCGCGCGTGGCCATTCCACGAGCCATCCCTGGCGCATACCCGAACAAGCTAGCCCCTTCCACCACCGACCCTGCTGCCGTGGATGCCGTGTGAGTGCCATGTCCATCGTCATCTCGAGGTGATTTCGATTCATTGGATGCATCAATTGGACCCAATGCAGCCTCATACCCCTTAGAAAAGTACCTTGCACCGATCAATTTTCGATTACAATTTGATGAGGTAAAATTGGTGCCTGATTCACACGCGCCTTTCCAGCTGCTTGGAATTTGACCAAGCCCCGTATCAGCAAAGCTCCTACTTTCAGGCCAAACGCCAGTATCCAACACACCAATTATAACTTCACTCGCTGAGTCAGACTCAGGGAACAAATCAGCAGTTTTACTTAGTCCAAGAAACTCAGGTGTACGAGTGGTGTGCAACTCGTATCTTAACTCAGGTAAAACTGCGAGGATCCCTGGTTGCCTTTCGAGTTGTTGAGCTTCCTCATTGGTTAACTGAGTGGAGAAACCATGGATAACATTGTCGTAGGTATAGAGCATTTGAGCTGAGCCAGAAACTGATTTCAAAGACGATTCATACCAGTGAGTATGGTGCTCGAAGATCGCTGGCATCTCGGATTTAGCCATGTGGACTATGTAAGTCTTTCTCTGGTTCCTCTTCTCCACTGGTGCGGCCACGGACACGTGGCAAAAACCCAGAAGCAGAACAATCATAAGAGACTTAACCATCTCCATTTTCGTCTCTCTTTTTCACTGGAAAGAGAGGAAAGGAATAGAAATGAAAGCTTGGATACAACTCTGGTCTTATACACAAAAAAATAATAATAATAACAATAATATATGGGTTTTTTCTCTTTTTATGAAAAACTATGGAAAAGAAGAGAGAGGACGTGTTTGTAGGGACGGTGGTGGTTGTCTTGTTCCTTGAATGATTGGGTTGAGACAAAAAAAAAAGACAAAAAAAAGTGATAGAGGTTAAGAGCTAAGGAAAGACTTTAGCTTTTCCTTCACATGATTTCATGCTTTAAACCATGTCTTCAAAATCATCTCCTTTTTCTCGAGACTGAGAAATGATTCTCTCACTTCTACCTCTGTCTGTTGATAACTGTGTTTTCCTTTATCTTTTGGCAGATTTAAGGGAGACGTGAAAGCATCAAAAACCACAAAAGCTTAATATGTGTTTTCCTTGTACAATACATATTTACTTAAATTAGAGATGGTTTGGTGATTAATTTAAGCAAAGGAGGAAAAAAAAACAGAGATGGTTCGGGGATTAATAACAATTTAATGATTTATCTAAAAAAATTGGGGCTGGTGGAACTCGAGATTTAATTAATTGATTCATCCAATTATTCACGTCAGATCGAACAAATTTAAAATTTAAACCTCACCTATAATTTTTTTTTCTTATTTTTGGTCAGGATTGCTTATTTCTATACTCCAATTTCCTGGTGCTGGTAAAATAATAGACTGTAACTAATTCTTTTAGGTTTGAACTTAGTTTGGATATATTTTAGGTTTCTTTACGTGCAAGTGAGTTGATCAAAACAATTTAAAATTTGCATGCATGTTGAAGAGTAAGATGGTTGGTATAAATCAAAAGGGGAGAAATGAAGATTCCTCAAGATTATAATATGGTAGGTGGTAACTTTTTTTTTTTTTTGGTGTTGGACCAATGATATATAAATAATTTCACAAGTTTTTTTATTTTGAGGATTTATTATTGTAATAGTTGTCAAACATATTACTTATATTACTGTTAAAAATAATTAATGGACAATTAATTTTGAACAAGGCATGAATTAATTAATTTAATTAATTTATATAATTGTTTTTTAAAAAATAATTTTAAATAATTTTAAATAATTTTAAATTTAAAATTTAATATTTACAATATCTTATTTTATCGTAGATTATAATTTTTTTATAAAAAAATTAACTATTAATTTGATATTTATAAAATAATAATAAATAATAAATTATTTTTTATTAAATTTGATGAAAATAGTTAATGTTATAAAATTTTTTAAACAATATTTTAACCATTTTTAATTAACGTTTATAATAACAAGTTAATTAGACGTACTATACATTATAAATAGTAACTCAACCATTTTATAAAGGCAACTAAATGACTCAATTAAATTAGTATTTTTCTTTGGATGTTTTGAGCAACAGGAAATTGATGAGGCATAAGTGGACAGTTTTGAAGGTAGGTGAAACAGAGCTCTAATTACAAAACAAAATCTTTAATTGTTTCGTGTTGTTTTTTTTTTGGTTCACGGGCATCTGTCATTACTTCTTTAATTTTTATAATCATTCATTATTATATTATTATTTGATCCAACGGTGAACGGAGGTTTAACCGCCAACTGACCATCCTTCTTCTTTCCTTGATCGAAAATAAATATACTACCAATATATATATATATATATATAAAGGCTTCTCACGGGTTTTAATTTAATTTCGGGAAAATATCCCGTGCAAGGCTGAATGCAATAATGAATTGTTGGATCTTAATCTCAATCGCGGGCCCAAGCTTCACGTGTAGCCATTGGACGGCGTGATTGGATGAAACTAATTAATTTAAAATATGATTTAAATGCTTTTTGAGGTACAGATCTGACCCAAAAATAAAAATTAAAAAATGTGTCCTCCCGGAGGCTTGTCCCTCTTATTAAGACATCAACCGCCACTTTGTCTTTGCTCGAGGGTTTAAGATAAGTTGTGTTAATATTATTTTTTGGTTTATAAAAAAAAATTAACAAGCAAAATATTAAAAAATAACATAATATATTCATCAATGAGAGAAATCAAATCAATATATATATATAAAGTTTTTATTTTTTTATTTTATTAATCATTATTTTAATCATTAATTTTAATAAAATTAAATGATGATATTAAATTATTTATTTATTTCTTAAATTCATTAAAATAAATAATTAAAATAATATATAAAGTTAAAAAATTTTACATTCCCTTCATCAATATATAATATACAAAATATGGTGACGATTTGGAACAAATTAAGATGAGCTTATCATTTTTTTAATAAAAAATATTTTAATCTAAAAATATAAAAAAATTTGTACATATTAAAATTTAAATTTACGCTTGCATGATACGATTTTTTAAAGGTAGTTTCACTAATTAACTGGATTATAAGTCTTGGATTCACTTAACTATCTACTTCTATGAAAATACGAGTGCATAATGATATTAATTTGGCAATTAATGTAACTATGAATGAATTGGGGTGTTTAGTTAGACTACAAAATTCAAACGAAAGAAAATGAATGTGGAACGAGGCAATTAGCGTGTACATCAAAATTGTGGCATCACCTAGCCTCAAATTTCGGCAACGAGTTATTGCATCAGGCTTGATTTTCTTTGAAACTCCAATATCATTTTGATAAAAATTAACCTTTACGCACGAATGTATAGTTTCAAACATATTAGTTCACTAATTGAATATAAACATAACGATTTGTATATTTATATGATATAAAATTTTAAGATTTATGTATTAATATCATATTTTACATAAAAATTACTTATCAAAATTTATTTTAATACAAAAATATGATTTTTTTTAATTTTGTTAAATTTATGTATAATTATTATTAAAATTTTAAACTATATTATTTTTATATCTTTTTTGTATTATATTTATATTATGTTATTGTATTATATTTTAAATTATTAGATTTAATTGAATATATTCTAATTCCTAATTTAGTGATTACTAAGATAATATATATATGAATAATAACATTATTACAAAAAAAATTTTAAGAGAGGATTTGAATATATATATATATGTATTATTATATTATATGAGAGGATTTGAATAGTTGGTTCAATGTTGGTTATATGGATAAATTCATTCGGTTTGAGATATTGTTTTAAATTCAAATTTTATGATTTTTTTATTAATATTAATATCGAATGCATGAATTTTTTTTTAAGACATGACACAATTAGACTCAATACAATTTATCTATTTTTTAAATTTTATTACTAATTTTTAAAAATAAATAAATACTTTCCCTCATTATTCAACCAGATGCTTTTGTATATAGAAATCTAGTTCAAATCTTATAAATAAATCTAGTTATTTGAAGTCGAAAAAGCCGCAGTTGCAATTTAAAAGACGAAAAGAACTGGAAAACCATGCATTTGATTAAAATTTTATTATTGCATTAAGTATCCAAACACAATTCGTAATTAGCGAACGTGAATCATAATGGTCAAGTACCGTAAAATTAAATTTCTTAACTGTCTCGGTTGGTTGGACAGAAATTAGGTTAGCTAGCCCAGAGGCCCCACCTGCTACTTGTGCTCCCATTTCTTGCCTACTAAAGCTAATCTTGCCTACATGGCATACTATAATTGCACAAGAAACAAAAATTATTTTTAACTAAGGTGCCAACCTAGTTAGACATATTTCATTGTTGTTTTTACTATTTATTTTTGTTAATTGATTTTTTATTTTTAAAATTTTTAATCTATCTTTAAAATTTTTTTTATTTTACTGTTTATTTAATTAAAAAAATATTATACATATAAATTTTTTCAAATTTATAAATTAAATATAAATTTTAATAATATTTTAGCTAATACAAAAATATTCGATAAAATTCTTTTGAATCGTACGTGGAGTTCAAATAAAAGTGGATTCCAATTTGTAAAATCATCTTTACATCGTCTTTTCTTGTGGAGAATGATGGTCCAGAGAAAGAAAAGGTTTTTGTTGCAAGTTGGCAAACCAAAAGAAGAGATAGGAATCCTAAATTATTGAACAATGTACGCCAAGTAGGGACCCGGCGACCACATGAAAAACAATGGAAACCATATATGCTATGTGGACAATGTGTGCTTTACTGGTCAGAAATTAAGAGTATAGGGATATGTGTTGCACCTGAAGCAATAATCATAATAATATAGAAGTAATAAACAACAATCAATAATCAAATGGGCAAGAAAAATAAAACACATCAAGATTTACGTGGAAAACCTTTCAGTGTAGAGGGAAAAACCACGGGCCACCAGAAAAATCTTTACTATCAAATAATAGTTATACAAAGTTCTTCTCTAGTTAAAACGAGAGCTAATCAATAACTAGAGAAACAATTAGAGAGATCTCACCAAATAAGTGACTCAACAAATACACCTTGGATTTGTTCCTAAAGAGCTTCAAACCCGATTTTCACCATTCAAAATGTATAACTCTGAATCATAAACCTCCTGACAAGGTTCCAACTCAATCGGACCACGGATCGACTTTCGTTTAACCAACTCTCCCTTCTTCTTTTTCTCTCTCTACTTTTTCTGACTTTTCTTCTTTCTCTGCTTGGTTGTCGACACACACCTTAAACAACCCCACCTCTTTTTTATTAAGTAGCTAGGGCTCTGTGTAAAATAAAAGATCAAGGCCCATGGCCTTTACTTGGTCCAAAATCACTTATATGGGACTGGACCCCATTTTCCTAACAATCTCCGCCTCCAACCCCATTAGGAAGAGATTCATCACCATAGCAGTTTCATTTGGAACTTACCTTGGCCAGGGAACTCATTTCGGCCAAGTTACTGCAAAGCTCAAACTTTTCCCTGGGAAGTTTAACAAGATCATAAGTACCATTCTTTCGCAATGACTCCATCTCTTATTTCATTACTTTTAACCAGTGCTCTCTATCCGGAGTAGCCTGCACATCTTGAAAGCTTTCTGGCTCCTCTTCACTGGTAACTAAAATAAAATCTAAACTTGGATACCTGGTAGATGGCCTGCGCTCTCTAGTAGATTTCTTGGGCTGAGACTCTACATCACTTGATGCTGAAGGTAGCTCCCCCTGCTCAACACTCTCAGGTAGAGAGGATTGCTCCCCCTGCTCAAAACTAATAGCATCTGGCTCATCACCAACTGTGGCTGGCTCATTCATATCCCCAAGTTCTGTTTCTGGCTCATTTTCACCATCTGTGGCTCTTTCTTGTGAAATCCCTGTCAGTGTTGAAACATCACACTCAACAGTAACTCGTGTAGTCTTCTCATTTTTCTCAAGGTCTGCTATGGTTTCTTTTTCATGAAAGACCACATCTCTGCTTCTGACTGTCTTTCTCTTTACTGGATCTCATACCCTGTAGCCAAATTCCTCATCACCATATCCTACAAACACACATTGTGTGGCTGTACTGTCAAGCTTTGATCTCTGCTCTTTCGGTACATGCATGAATGCTTTACACCCAAAAACTTTCAAGTGAGAGTATGAAGCATCTTTCCTTGTCCACACTCTTTCTGAAATGTCAAAGCCCAAAAGAACTGATGGTGACCTGTTAAGTAAATAACAAGCTGTGTTGACTGCTTCACCCCAGAATAGCTTTGGTAATTTTGCCATCCTCA